CTCCAGCGGGTACTGACTCAACCATCCCTGAATTTTACAGAGAGAAGCTGCTTTTCTAGAACTCACCCTCACAGCCGAACTCACAGAGACTGAACCAGATCTCTGGGGCTGTGTAAATATGAACTTGTAGAGACTGGAAAGAGATTCCTAGGGCTGCTAAAGCATCATCACACTCTGGGAATGAGGGCAAAGAGCTCACAGTCACAGTCTGACCACTTGACTGTGTTCCAGCAATTTGGGTTGTTGTGCCTGGGTTGTTGTCCTTGGGCTCCCAGGAAAGGCAAAAGGGGTGGAGAATCCCCTCCGAAACTGTTGTTTGCTTTAAACTTTAATGTTTAACATTCTAAATGTGCCACATGTAATAGTTTGACCCTGGCCTGGTGCCTGGTGCCAGCAAGGCTGCTCCGTCATTGCCATCATGCCCCAGGCTGGACAGAGAACACCAAAGGAGAGGTTTGTGCTTAGATCAGGGCACAGAGAAGGCACTCACCTGTTGCTGCCACAGGCACAATAGACCCAGCTTGGGGGAATTATTTGAATTTATGTCCAGTCMAATCACATCAAGAGAATGAGAATTAAAACAAATCCTAGTAAAACTCCTTTCCCCTACCCCTCCCTCCTTCCCAGGATTCATTTTATCCCCAATTCCCTCCTAGTAGTGCAAGAGAAGGGGATGGGGGYTATGGTCACTTCATGCTGCTCCACATCCTCTCGGCCCAGTCAAAAAAAAACTCTTCCCAGGAGTTCTCCCTTTCTGGTTTCCCCACTTTGGGGTTCTGGGGTTCTTGTGGATCCTGGTGATCTCCCCTCTTTGGAGTCCTGCTTAGGGATGTTGGGGGATCCAAGGTTCCCTTCTCTCCCGATCCTGTTTCAGCTCCCAGTTTGTCCCAGGGTCCTCCTCTTCAAGCTCTCCTCACTTGAGGCACTGGGGGATGTCCCTCTTCCTAAACCCCCTTTCAGGGTCAGGGGGTCCTGGACCCTGCTCATCTCCAGGCTTCCCCACCCCTCCAGGCTGCTGGGGGTCTTCCAACTCCGGCATCACCATCTCCACTCTCCCTTCGCTGGGTGTCCCACGTTCCACCCCCCGGCTCCCCCGGGGATTCCCAAAACAAACTTCCTGCTCCACCTGTATGGGATGATCGCTGCATGGACCACCCCCCCCAATGTCCCCCACAAGGAGCATTTGAGTCTCAGCTCTGGAGTCCTTCAAGATCTAAACACATCCCCACMCWCTCAAAAYCCYCCCAGGGAAATGCAAAGATATCTGGGGCTTGATTCCCGAATCTACGAGTTCCAAAAAAATCCCTGCCAGTGACCCCCC